TTCCCTCTCCTCGCTGCGCCTCACTCCACTCACTGGGCGTCTCTGCTGTTCCACGTTTCCTTAAGTATGTTCCTGGTCCAGCCTCACTTTTCTCTGTGCCCAGAGGCTGTTCTCCAAAGAGGCCTGCTCCTCTTGGTTCTTTTCTCACGACCTATTTAAAAGAACACTTTCCCTTTCCTACCTAAATTCTCTTCCTGCTTAATTAACCCTTTCTACTTGATTTTTTTTTTTGTAAGAGAAATGACCAGGACCTGGCCCATGTGTGGTGCTTACTACCTGCTTCCCCAAGTCAGAGCCCTGCATCCTTGACCCCTGGATGCCCACGTCTCTCCTGCAGGGCTGTTGGTGGGCACGAAGACAAACAACAGGAGTGATGAAGTGAACACCTGTGTGGTGGGTATTGGGGTGTCACATAGGAAAATTGCTTCAAGGTCAGGCTGCTTTGCCATTTCCCTCCCCTTCAGCATTCCTTCTTGCTGTGTGTTCTGGGTGCCCCGGGCCCCCTGTGCCCTTGGCCAGGTGCCCTGCTTCCCAGTGTCTTGGTACTTTGTGGGATAGACCTCGGGGTCCCAGACTCACAGGGCCCTGTGCATTTTGCCCGACAAGCACCTTGGTGTTGGGAGAAGTATCTTAACGAAGCAAGAACTTTTATATTTTAAATTTCAGTTTAGAATTTGGGGTGCTCCCTCTGGATTGGTTTCTGTTTCTTTGCTGCTCCTGTATTTCCAGCAGCAGGAAGGAGGGAGACTCCATCTGGGTTACTGGATAGTGGGGAAAGGAGTGGAAATCCTGGTTGCACTCGCCTGCCTCAGATTTCCCTCTCAACAGGGTGGGGGTGGAGGAGGGCGCAGAGGGAGGCCCCTGGGTAGGGGGCATGGGGGCGAGGCCAATCATCAGGAGACCTGCAGTGTCCCCCGAACCCCTGGGCATGGGAACAGGCGGCTCAGGGGCCTTGGAAGTGTGGGAGCAGATGGCGACTGCAGGGGCCCCATTGGGCTTTCACAGCCCTTGATTTGGGGTCGCTTCCCAGGTGTCCGGGTCAGCAATACAAAACTATCCTGGTGGCAGTGGACGTGATGCAGCAGCCCTGGGCGCTCTGGCATGGGAGGACTGGCATGGGAGTGGAAGAGTGGTGCTCGGCCGCCATCCCCCGCCCTCAGCTTTGCCCCCCATGCTCTGCGGGGGCATTCTTGGTCCACGGCTGTGGAAGCGGCCAGCAGGCCCTTTCTCGCAGCTCCATGTGGGTTGACAGATGTGGCAGCCTACCCACTGCCACCTGGAGCCGCTTCCCCGCCCCACAATGTGAGGACAGGGTAATGATGTCCAATTTTGCACACTTCAGATCCATTAGTAGCAATTACCTTTCTCGAGGTGTTTTGAGTTAGTTTTAACATAGCATTCTTCCAGTTGGTGGGTAATGACAGTAATAATGTACACAACATTTTCAAGTCGCTGTTTTTAGCTACAATAACGCCATTAGTAGGTCTATTTAACAGATGCATTTCATGCTAAAAGTTAAGGCTCTCATGATTCCTTTCCCTTCCCCCAAGCAAACTCTCGCTGCTGTTTTATCCAATGGAGACTTTTACTCCAAAGTTTCAGGGTTGTTTTTCCTATTCTGGGTCTTCCTGTTGACACGGGATGGTTGTGTAACTGGTTTGGTTTAGACCTGTTCTTTGTTAAGCACATCTTATTTAGCTGTTCTTTTCACGACATGCATGCTGACCTAGAAACCCAAAGTTCATGAAAATGGAAAATGTGTGTTTTTCTAAAATTTACTCGGATGATGTGAGAGATTTACTGGATTTACCTGAAGATGGATGACCCTAGCTGCTGGGGGACAAATCCCTGCCAAGGAAGATGTCTATTCTAGCAACTTCATCAAGTGTGTGTGTGTGTGTGTGTGTGTGTGTGTGTTTAAAACTCCCTCCAATAATCTGGAAAACCTGGAAGTTTACTCTTTCCATGCCTCCTGGGAGCTGTCTCTGACTCCCCATCCACTTGAGAGCTTTTCTCTCCTGTCCGCATCTTTGTGGTGGGTCCTCTTTTGTGGACGCTCTTCCACAGGGCCACCTTCTATCCGCCTCTTGCTGGTGTCGCTGTTCAGTCTCCATTGTGTATTTAGTTGTCTGTGTGTCTCATCTGCCTGCATCCCTCCCAGGGCTGTCAGAATGAAGGCCCCCCAGCCTGGTGGCTTTAGTTAGCAGACGTTTATTGTGGCGGCTACAGTCAAGGTGTAGGAGGGCCGTGTTCCCCGGGAAAACTCAAGGAGAGGATCCCTCCAGCTTCTTCCAGCTGCTGGTACTTTCTGGAACATGGTGGTGTCACTCGGCGCTGTCTCCCTTTGTCTCCCCCTTTCCCCCCAAGCCCTGTCTCTTTGCTGGTGTTCTTTTCAGAAGAACACTCTACATGTTGGCTTAGGGGGCTGCCCTCATGACCGCACCTTAACTTCATTCCATCAGTGAAGTCTGCAGTTCGGTGTGAGGTCACATGACCAGATACCAGCATTTCTGTTTAGCAAACTCAGCGGCACTTGTAGTACCCTCAGCTGCGTCGGCACCTCCCTGAAGCTTCAGGATTTGATATGTCCAGTTAGCAGTTTCCTAAAACCCTGGTTCAGGAACAGGAGCCCTTAATTCCCTTTTTAAAAGAGCGCCTCATTGCCAGACGTACTAGAGACACTATCGTTACCCCTGATCTGGGACTTAAGGTGCCTGTTAGCTCATTAAAGGCTCAGCTAAATCTTGCTACTAAGATGTAAGTCAGACATCGCTAAGTAAGTCAGACATTGCTACTTGTGTAAGTCAGACTTACCTTGGATCACTCTTTTGGTCACAGGGACTGTCTTTCGTTTTTGTTTATGCTATAATTTCCCTCCATTAACAGTAGTAGGAAATGCTTTGGGGGAGCAGAGGCTCCCTGAATGTTGTTTCTGCCATATGAATTTCCCCAAATGAGGTGAGCATTATAATATAATAATAAATATTCACTTAAATAATTTCTTTCTTATATAGCATGAAATGGGCTCTGAAGAACAGGAGTGATTTTTAAAAGGCTCGATTCTGAGGATACTCATGTTGCGTCAAGAGTTGGACAGAATGGCCGAGTCCCTGAGTGCTCCGTCTACTCACCTAACCCATTTGACGTGCTTCCCCATCTGAATGTGGGGACCAGCATATGCCTTACAAATGGACGGTGCATAATTGCTGTTTGAACCCAGTGAATCAGCCCAAGAAGCCAATGAAACCATGACGTCCTTTGCTGCCCTGTGCTTTGGATCACAAGGATTTTAAATGCTGTGCTAGATAGAAGGATGAGCTGCCTGGAAACTCAAATTTTGGCTTATATGTAAAGGAACATAATGATAATTTCTCAGCAACAAAAAACCCTCCTTTTTGACCCTTTTCAGCACCATGGGAGTTCTTTACACCGCTTTAAGGAAAAACTTTAATCCCAGGTGAGCTTTTTAGCCAACTTGTGATGGTTGATTCCTTCCCTCTTCATCCACTGGTGTGATTTGGGTGGCATGAAGCCATTTCGGCAGTAGCCTAAGCAAAACCCAACTAGGAAGATCAACCTCTTGGCAAACACATCATGCTTTCTTACAGAGCCAAATAGAAATGTTTTTAAATCATGAGTATGTCCTGGTTTAAGATAAAACAGGTGTATTTATCACAAATAAATAGAGAGCTATTTCATAAAAAAAGCATTGTTTTTTTAAAATATACATCTTGGGATTCATTGTCAAGTTCCTTTTAAGTAGTAAATACTCCTGGTGTATTTCAGTTAACGTTAATATATCTGATTTCCATACCACTTTCAGATCAGTATATACAGAGAGTGGCTAAGAGCATGGGTTGTGAAGTCAGAGACCTGTGTTCAAATCCCGACTTCACTCCTGCTGTCCATATGGACTTGTGCCAATGACTGTGAGCTTCAGTTTTCTTATCTATGAAATGGGAATATCACCTACCTTGAGTGGTTATTTTCAGGGCTGACGAGATGACATGTTTAAAGCTCTGTTCCCGGTAAAGACTTTAGCTTAATGCCCAGCACATATACATGTAAGTTCAGTTCAACAATAAATGTAGCTACTACTATTATCTGTTCTTTTATAATCATTCACATTTTTCAGACATGTACGAAATATGTATGAGTGTCCATTGTGTGCCAGGCACTGTTGAAATTGTTAGGTATGTAATATGAAAGAGAACAAATGATTTTCTGACCATGTGAAGCTTTTGTTTTAGGGAGAGCCATACAGTCAACAAATTAACAGGAAATAATGTGTCTGGGGCTGGAGAAAAATAAAGCAGATCAAGTAGGTAGGCCATGCAGAGTGTGTGTGTGGGTTGTGAGTTGTCATCTTTCATGAAAGGATCAGGGAGGTCTTCTGCAGGAACATGACATTTGAATAGGGAGGGAAGGAGGTGAAGAAAGCTTCATGCATCAGGACAGCACGTTCAAGGGCCCTGAGCCAGACATGTGCTCAGGTTTGTCTGAGAAGTGGCAGGAACCCAGTGCATCTGGGGTGAAGTGAACTGAGGAGGACCAGCCAGGAGTGAGGTCTGGGAGGGGACTGGGCTGGACAGGGGGCTTTGCAGGACCTGGCAGCAGTTGGGATTTTATTCTGAGGGAGAGGGAATCATGGCAAGTAGAAGCCTAAGATCTGATGTGTATTTTACTTTGTGGAGAATATACACCATGTAAGTCATGGTGTACGTGAATTTAAATGATGGGCTTTCAAACACAACTTTCTAAACACAGTGGGGGTGGGTTCAAAAGACAAATTTCTGGGGAACACACACTCAGTCCCTACCAGGCTGCACGCAACACAGGAAAATTCAGTCCTTTCCCCAGAATGTGACCCAGCCGTCACTGTCACTCCACGCCGCCCATCGCCTAAGCTAGAGGTGGTGCAGGCAGCAAGCACTAGCTCGCGGAAGTTCCAGGCCCGACCCTCCTCCCGGGGGCGTGTCCTGCGTGGGCGGGACCGGAAGTGCCTAAGGGGGCGGGGCCAGCACCCTCTGGTCTCACTGCCGGAAGTGCCTGAGGAGGCGTGTTTCCTCACTGCCATCAAGTACTTGTGAGAACAGTGAACGTTTCCTTCACTGCCGGGAAGCGCTTGAGAGTCCCGGGCGTTTCCTCTGCCAGAAAGTACCACTGAGGCTGGCAGGTGTTTTCTCACCACCCGGAAGTACTTGGGGATCCTGAGGCCATTCCTCACTACCTGGATATGCTTGGGGTTTCCCGGGCGTCACCTCCTCAGTCCCCAGAAGTTCCCGTGGGCTCAGCAGGCATTTCCTCAAGGCCTGGGTGTACTTGGAGGCCGCAGGCGTCTCCTCGCTGCCCAATGTAACTGGGGGTCCAGGCGCCCCTCACTGCCCTGAAGAGCCTGGCTTCCTGCCCGCACGTGGGAGGGCACCTCAAAGCGCGTGTCCTCAAGGAGCCGCCCCAGCGTGAGTGTCCTGCGTCGCTCGTGGCCATCTGTGCATGGGCTGGCGTTTCCGACCCTGGGCTCCCGCGGGCTGGAACCTGAGCCCGTGACCTGATGTCGTTCCGCCCTGGCCTTGCCCTGGGGGTTGTGGCCTTGGCTTCAGGGCGTGGTCAGTGGCTCCTCGTTCTAATGCTCCTTAAGCATTCCAGGTTCCTTCCTTAAGCCTGGAATCCCCGTCTGCCCGGAACCCCGTGTGCTGGGGCCCTCGTGTGCTCGGAAGCCCCGTGTGCTCGGTCCCCCTGTGTGCAGGGCAGTGGCCAGGCCCGCAGGGAGGGGGAGCAGGGCCGCAGAGCCTCAGAATGTGACCCCGCCTTGTTACTTACTCCCCGCAGATGGGGACCAAGACCAGCCTATAAAAGGCCCGGGGGGCCGGGCGCCCCAGTTCTCCCCCACGGTCGCCTGCCTCATCGGGTGCCCCTGGGGTGCAGCGGTACAGCTGCCAGCAGTGTCCCGAGGTGCAGGGCCGCGAGGTCCCGAGTTAACAGAGTCGCGGAGGGGGTGCCGCTCAGCGCCCCCACTTGGTGCACGTGAGGCCCTGAGAGCTTCTGGAATGGTCGGGCTCAGTGGACGGGTGCGAGCACGATGGCGGTGGGGATTTGGCGAAGGTGCAGGCTGCGCGGCTGGCCCAGGAGTGGCGCAGGCCTTGCCCCCAGAGCTGACCCGGGGCCACGAGGGGAGAACCGCTCTGGGGGCCGGCTCTGTTCGGAAGCAGGAGTTAGGCAGGTATATTCATCATGAGGAACGGGAAGGTAATTAATACGCTGCATTCAATGCAAATTGCACCCGTAGCACTTATCTCGTTTTCAATTAGCACAAATGTTACCACGCTGCAGGCCTGTTACGGCTTTACCAGGGGCTGGGTAATTAATTTCTGGGCGCCACATATCAGGCACCCGGTAATGCCGCTTATTAATAAATGTCACCCCAGGTATCGGTTTGTTAGAAGAGGTAAATAAATGGAATGCGCAGTTGTCTGCCCTGTGCAAATCTATTTTTACACCTCGCTGAGTCTTTTCACTTGTTTGTTTATTGATAGAGTGACTGTGATTACAACGGCAAACAAAGGAAAATCCCTCCCCTATGCGCCTCCAGGGAGATTCCTTCTGCCGGCCCTGGGGATGGTGGGCCTGTGGGTGGGTTCTTCAAGGCCAGGTTCCCTGGCTTCAGAAGGCATTTTCCCAGCTGGGACTGGGGTGTGGGCGGGTTGGGTGGGGTACAGAGAGCTCCCGGGTCAAGGGCCCGAGACCTCCTGGGACACTTTGGGGAGCAAGAGCTCTTAGGGACACCCCATGGTGCGGGCCACCTTTCTCTGCTCTGTGCCCAGCTCTGCTCTTAGCACCCACCCTGGCCTGCCGGGAGGATCTGGAGACACTTGACAAAGTGGCTGTGGAGCAGAAGCCCCATATTTCTCTGCTTCTCCCTGCTTTTGCTCTTGTATCTTCTCTGCATATTGGCAGGTAAGTCACACTAGTTTTTTTTGTGTGTGTGAAAAAATGAGTCATTACATTGGTCAAACACTTTCTAGAGCTGAGGGTGACTGGCTCAAACTCCATTTTCTTATCGCTCTTGTGATGACATGGGTTTTGCCCAGTAAACAGTATCTTCTTTTTGCTCAGAACTAGCTGGACCCTAATCAGAAATCAGCAATTCCCAGCCGACATTTTGAATTTTGACCCCAGAGCTCCCTGGAGGATCCTGTGTGAGAGTCGTGGTGCTTTGCTTAACTGAGTTAATAGTATCTGTAAATTCCTTACTCTGATGTCCCGTACTTGGTGCGTGCCCTGTGGGCAGCATGGCCGAGGTCACCAGCTGGCTGCGTGGTCTCCCTGGGTCCTACAGGGAAGGTTGGCAGAGTGAGCGTGTCTTTGGTGGCTAATTATGGAGCTGCTACTAAGTGCCCGCACTGTTTTGGTGCTGGAGATAAGCAGACAAAAATCCGGATCCTCAAGAAGTACGCACCATCAGAGAAAGGAAGCAAACACGTGAGGAGAGGTGGCACGTCAAGGGTTTGGAATCACAGAGGGGTTTCAGGGGGGCCTCAGAGGCGCCATTTGAGCAGATGCAGAGAGGTTTGAAGCTAGCCCTGGATGTCTGGAGAAGGAGTCTGCAGGCAGAAGACACAGCAGAGGTAAAGGCCCCATGTAGGAGGTGTCCGGAGCCATCCTCCCGCCAGTCTGACGGAGTGGAGTGAGTGCGAGGAGAGGGCGCATGAGGGAGCCTCAGAAGTTGTGATGTTGGGGTCTGGTGGGAGCTTTCAGGCAATTTTAAGGACTCCTTTCCTCTGAGGTGGGATGCCCTGGGACAGCACTGAGCAGAGCAGGATGTGGCCTGACTTAGGTTTTAAAGGCTTTTTCTCACTTCTGTTTAGAAGTAGACCTTAGAAGGGCCAAGGGCAGAAGCAGGCCCAGAAGGAGGGTGTGTTCATTTCTTATTGTTGCGTAACAGGATACCGCACACTTCGGGGCACAGAACAACATGTTTATTATTGATATTTTACAGTTCAGGCATCTAAAATCAGAGTATTGGCAGGGGAGTGTTCTTTCTCGAGACTCCAGAGGAAAATCCATGTCCTTGCCTCTTCCAGTTTCTGGAGACTGCCCTGTACCCCTTGGCCCTGTCCCCTTCCTCCACCTTCAAAGCTGGCAGCATCTTCATAGCTCTTTCTTTTTCTGACCTCTGCTTCCACTGTCACTTCTGCTGTGACTCTGACCCTCCATTTATGCCACAAGGACCCATGTGATTATATCGGGTCCAGCTGTGTAACCCCCCACCCCAAGGTCCTTCACCTGACCCCAATAGCAAAGCCTCTTTTGCCATTGAGGGTCACATGTTCATAAGTTTCGAGGATTAGGCTGCCTTCGTTTTTTGGAAGACCATCATGTGGCCCTGAGAGATTCACGTGCGAGTGTCGGTGAAGGGGAAGCTGGCGACCTGTCCCACTGCCTCCTGTCTTGGGTCAGTTTCCACACAGAAGCTTCCATAACTCGCTGGCCTGTGGCAGAGGTCTGCATCCTCTTTCATTCCCATTCCCACTGACTTGGTTTTCCCATCCCAACAGCTTGCCCACAAACTAAGCAACGATGGGCAGTTGTAGTAGGAAGGGACTTGAGAAGCTGTCGAGTGCCCACTGCCCCTTTTACACCCCGCTTTGTCCTGTGCCCGTTGAAACCTTCTGGGTAGTTTCACGAACTGTGTCTGTTTATTCATCTGTTCATACATTCAGCACCTACTGGGCATCTGTTTCGTGCCCACTCTGGGCTCTGTAAGAGTAGATGTGAGAGTCAGCTGCACAGTCACTGAGAGTAATTATCCCTGGGTGACAAGGATCTATTGGCCATCTACTTGGAAGGAATCAGAGAACAATTATAGAGCTAAATATAAGGGAATGAAAACGAAATGCAAGATTTATCTATTAGTACTGCGAGGATGAGGAACGTGGAGAGGCTTCTTGGAAAAAGTAATAGGTCATGGATTTTTATTTTTTAATTTGGGGCCAGACAATTGCCAGTTTTTAATTTTGTTAAGAATGGACATTAGAAAAATTCTTACCATTTCTTATTGCCATCATTCCATAATAGAGAGGACATTTAACATCCAAGATTGAAAAGGACACAATCTTAGAATAAATGGCATCCTTTGAATTAAAAATATTTAGCTTTATAAAAACAAATGCTCATCTTTATTTTTTTTTATGGCACTGAGTGCCATTGAAACTTGATTCTGGATTCTTTCTGGAGGTGAAAGTCAGGTGGCTGGTTGTTGCTTGAACTTCGGACTTTGTTGAATGTGGTTATCTCCCTCTGTGTCTTTGGCCCAGACCTCAGATTGCTGGGGACCTGATGACTGGGATCCGGTGTCTTGCTTGTGGATATTCTTGAACCCTGTCACTGCTATTGGTTCCTTCAAGGGAGGGCCTGGGGGAGGCGGAGAGGAGGGAGGGAGATTCAGCGCCATTTGTGCTGGGGTGTCAGTGGTGGATGAGTGGCTGACTCAAGCGGTGACCTGCTTCTCCATTGAGATCTTGGCATTTTCTGTGGATTCCAGGCATGGTGCTGCCATAACAAATGACTGCAAGCTGGGCAGCTCTAAACTCAACTACGGACACTTCCTTGCTCACAGTGAGGCTGAAGGTGCATCAAGGTGTGAAACACAGGGCCACTCCTCCCAGGGAGCCTCCCAAGGAGCTTCCTTGCCCCTCGCTGGCTTCTGGCGAGGTGCTGACTGTCCTTGGTGCCTCTGCGTCTCTGTCTCCGCCTCTGTCACCACACGGCCTTCTCCCTGGGTATCTGTGTTTATGCTTGCTGTCTCTTCTCTCAGAATGCCAGCCCTTGAATGTGGGGCTCACTGGAATCCAGGCGTACCTCTTCTTGATCCGTCGCATCTGCAAGGATTATATTTCCAAAAGAGGCCCTGCTCTGAGGTTCTGGCAGATGTGGATTTGGGAGGAGCACATGTCTGTCTTGGAGAGAGAACCTGTAAAGAGACAAGTAAGTTTGCGCCTCCCTTGGTGTCCTAGGGGTTAAGTCTCAGCACTATCACCACTGTGGCCTGAGTTCGATCCCCGGCCAGGGAGTTGACCCACATGCGCAGCAGACTCCTGTCCCCCTGCTGCTCCCCTCAGCAGTGTATTTCAGTAGATCTGCCTGTTCTGCTCCCCACTCTGGTGAATCTTCTTGCCCCCCTGCCTCCGCACCTCTGGTCCACACCCCAGTTCTTCTATCAAAAAATGTTTTTAAAAATAGAGAGATAAGCAAGTTAAAATGAAGCCATGGGGCCTCATTGATACTTTGTTATGGCTGCTCAGGCAGACTAATACAGACATGATTCTGCAGGATTCAGCAAGGACGCAAAGCCTGATGGCTTTTTCCTCTGAGCTTGAACAACTTGGTACATGAGGGGCTCCAGAAGGCCTTTGAATGTCTGTGTCATACCTGGACCTTTCACCACTACTTCTTATCAATACATATGGCACAGATGTGCTGCCTTTAGAAGATGGACTGGGGGAGGCAGCTGTTACACAAGATGTGAGCCAGTACCTTCCAGATAGACATCTAGAGGCCACTGTCTCCAGGGAGATTCTTCTTATGCAAATTAGGGGCACACCATGCTGGGCGTCCTCTGTAGCCAGGCCCCGCAGATGTGTGCATGCATTGGGGGCAGGTATGTGAGGGGAGCCTGAGGCAGGGTGGGGCTATAACCACCCCCTTTTCCCTGCTGCCAAATTGCTCTCCAAGGACCTCAGTCTCACCCAGACCAGCCCTACCCCCTTTCTGCACCCAGGAAACATGGCTGCTTGCTTTCTCATGAATATGGATTTCCATCATCCCCCACTATAGGGATAGATGTTGGGGGCAGAGCTGTTGATTACATTTCCAGCCAATCATGGCCCATTAGCAGGGATGAGCGGGGAGCATTATGCCTCTTCAGTGAGGGGCCATTTGCATTTGGTTGGACCCGCTTTCTTTCTGAGCATCTACGGGCCCTCAGCGCACTCAATTACTCTTGCGTCCGGCTCTTCCTAGTAATGCTCTTTTGCTTTCTGAGTGTCTTGATTGGATTTGCCAAATAGCTTGGTGCTAACTACAGCTGTTTAGCAGGTCCCTGGTGGGGTGATGAGGACTTCAGGATATGGGGTCACTCTAGCCAGCAGGAATCAAATACCTTTCTCTGAGCACACCTTTCCCCACTTCCCTATCAAAGAATGCCCTGTCCTTGGGGGGAGCGGCCCAGCTGGCCCATGGGGTCCAGGCTTGGACATCACATTAGCCTCTGTCGGGGGGCTGCTGGCGGCCCTTCCTTCCAGACTTCTGTGTTCAGCGCCCTTGCCCCTGGGGATGTGGGTTTCCTGACTGCTTTGGGAGAATCTGTGGGGCGCTGGCAAAAGTAGATGCTCTTTTCCTCGCCACACCACCTCTGAGAAAGATGAGGTAAGTGGGTGCAAGGAAAGCCTGAGGGGAGAGCCGTCTCCCCTTCTCTCCGGGTATTCCAGCAGAGATGTGGGCGTGTGGGGAGGTGGAGGCTGGACCTGGGAAAAAGCCAATTCTGTTGCAAAATGTTTAGTCAGGGATGCGCGGAGACGGCTGGGAACAGCAGAGGGTTTTCCTTTCACAGGGTTGTGTTCTCTTCAACCCCCTTCTGCCGCCCAGAGGCCTGTGGAAAGCCCTCCTCTGGGGTCACACACGTTTGTCTGCTTTTGTTAAGGTTGGCGCCTGGTCCCTCCCAACTCGGAGAGGCATGTGGGTGGCACCCTCCCCCAGCTCCTTTTCTGTTGTGTTACTGGGGGACATGTTTTGTTTTCTTGTCCACTTTTGTTTTGCCTCTTCAAGAAAATGAAAGTGAGCACCTGAGGAGGAGAGTGAGAGGGAGGCAGCGGGAAGAGGCTGCAAGCTCCAAATGATCCGATGATGAAAAAAGAAGGTTACCTGTGTGTTTGTCAACAAGATGAAATAAATAAGAGCAAAAAAAAAAAAAAAAAAAGGACAGCAGTCAAAGGCAATCAAATATGTATTTAATTAAAGCAAACATAAAAATAAAAGTTACATGTTGAATCAATAAACAGCACTTTTTTCTACATGCATTTTGAACAAGACAGATCAGAATCTTGCATGATGAAGACATAATGTGTCATAATAATTAGGAACACAGACAAAAGAACAGCTAATCAGCATGCAAATGTATGCAGTTCTGGTGATTCAGATGAGGCAGATTTCTACCTCTTTTTTGCTTGATTCATCTTCATTGCTAATCATCTGAAGGCTGCCAAATGTTCACTGACACTAATGTATTATAGGTCAAGAGAGGCAGGTCTTCACCTATTACCCCCCCAAACAATATGCTTCCCTTCCCTGTTTCCTCTTCAGGATTTTCAGCAATCACTGCCAGATGCAATCAGACTCCTTGAATAGGAACGACTGAGGCTTGTTTGTGGCTCGGATTCATTAGAATCAGGAGGCTGAAGAAAGGAATAAATTACTTAATTGCACAAAAAAGTTGCCGCCAAAGTGATGGTGAGAGAAAGTGATTATGTGGCCGTGCATCGGGCCACTCTTGGAATGGGGCGTCTTAGAATAGCTGGTAGTTTGGCCTCACAGATTCAGACAGATTTGGGTGTCCTCCAAACCAGATGGCTCCACACACCCTCTATTCTTCTCTTTGTCAGGTTTCACCATTTATTTGATCTCGGTCCCTCTCCGACGCTGGTTGTATTAGTTGTAACACAAATATGCATTCAGATCATATCCATTTAGTCTGGCCTCTCCCAACTTTTGTTCTTCATCTTTTTTTCTTTTCCTTTCTTTCTTTCTTCTCTTTTCTGAGGAGATGATCAAGTTGAATAAAACCCTCCTTGTCCACCTCCTGAATGCTCCTTCACCTGCGCTGCAGGGCGTGGGGAGATGGCAAGGCTGCAGTGTGGGTTGCGCCCCCTGACCGTTGAGCAGAAGGGAGGAGTCTCCCAAAAGGGGCCAAGAGAGAAAGGGGTTGCTCTATTTCCCAACCACGGGGATGCCTTCTTGCCCCAGACTTAAGTCTTAATCTGTTTTTTTTTTTTTTTAAAGGCACATTGTTAACCAGTGCTGTTCACACAGAACCATCCAGAACGCTCACACACAGGCTTCCCTGGCCCCAGGCCTCTGCTCGGGCACTGCACCAGGTTGTCGGTCATGTGCCGGGGTGAGGTGGTCTTAGGGTCTTGAGAAAGGGACCTCATTTGGTCCTGATTTTCCTGCATTGCTAGTGGTGGTTTTGTGTCTGCTCTGTGTGTATGTGTTTCAGTCTGTGTGTGTGTGTGTGTCTGTGTTCTGTGTACCTGTATGATATCTGTGTCTTAAGTCTGTGTTTTTTGTGTGTATGTGTGAAGGGAGAGGCCTGGGGGAGGGGTTGATAGTAAGACAAGAAGCCTTTGTAGGGAAGAAATTGGGAAAGAAACAATTTTGTTTGCTCTATTTGGAAAAAGGAAAAGCTTTCAGAAAGCGAGGACCTTTCTGGTGCTGTTGAAAAAGGAATTGACTAAACTCATGTACCCAGGTTTGCTCAGTCACTTCTCCCTTTGCCTGGCCATACTTTCCGCCTGACAGCCCTTTCCAGCCTCAGCTGTCTTATCCTGTGGGCCTCAGTATTGACCCCACGTCCTCAAAGGGTCACTCTGCCTTCTAAAGGACAAGCTGTGGTCCCCCTTCCGCCACCATCTATATCTTGTTACCATGTTTTTTATTTCTGCTCTAGTTTTACTTGTATCAGAAGATTATTTGGATAAGCACTGCTTACTTATTAATTGTATTTATATATTTACTGTTCATTGCCCCTACTAGGTAGGTTTCATGGGGGCAGAAATGTCCGCCGGCTTTAATCCCTGATCCCAGTGTCTACACTCAGGTGTGGCCTTTAGAAGAGTCGTGATGGGTATTTTTTCTTTAAACAAATGGTTTTCAGGGCTGCCTTGAAGTCAAATCACCTTAACCATCAACTTTTTGAGCTGAGATCATCACGAAATTTGCTGGAGGATAGAATGTGGATCTTGGGACTTCATTCCTTAGAAAGGCCTTGGCCTGGTTGTCCTTTGTAGGCCTGTGCTCATTTCAAGGGTGAGGGAGGAGGTGGCTGCTGGGAAAGGAGGAACTGTTCCCCAGAATTCTCGCTCTCCGTTGAGCCCACTGTAGAGGCAGGATCCAGTCGTCTCTGGGCCAATCCCTGTGTGTGGCGGCACAGGTGGAGGGAGAAGAGTGGGGCGGAGGGGCAGGGAGAGGAGGGAGCCAGGAAAGGCATTCCAGACTGCGAGGCATGCTGGGACCCAAGATGGCTTCAGCGGAGTGACATGCCAGGTGAGCTTTGAGCACGGGGAGGGGCAACTGCTTTTTCCTTGGGGCTGAGTGAGCCAGGAGAGTCACGGGGCAAGGACCTTCCTGCTTTGCTTGGATCACGGCCTTGTGACATGGAAAGTAGACCAACTTAAGTAGACCAACTTAAGTAGACATTAAGTAGACCAACTTCCAGCGGCTGGGCCATCCCGCTGAGCCTCCCCTGGGCCCTGTGTGGCCTGTGCCTTTCTGTAGGCAAGTGAAGGAGAAGGCCTTTGCTGGGCTGTTAAACACAAATAAAACAAAACAGTGCCTTCTTTTTCTGGAACTTGCCATGACTGGCCTGATTTCTCTCTCTCCCAGGAAGCTCAGCAAGGCATCTCCCACAACCTTGATCTTGCTTCCAACTTCAGGGTTGGGGGTGGGGGGTGAGCTTGCAGGGACCATGAATTTTTTGGGAATGGGAGGTGGGGGTGGGGGCAGGTCCTGAAGGAGCAGCTCAGCTCGGGCATTTGAATGCCATCTGGGGCTGGCAGGGAGGAAGCCAGAGCAGCCTGACCACCTAGTCCCTGGTTGCAGGCCCAGCTCCCTGCCAAGAGCTGGACGTCTGGAGTGGGCCAGTGGTCTCGGGGGAGGCTCTCATCTCCGCGGGAAGCCCACAGGCAGAATGGACCCCACCAGATAGAGCCTTCTGTAGCCAGTCCAGAGGCATCTGATTATTCAGTGGATGGGTTTGTTTTCTGGTCCAAATCTGCCTCCTATCCCTTCATCAGAACAAAGCTGAACTTTCCCACTCTCCGGCTGGCGGAGATAGCTGTCTCAGGCTCCTTGCAGAAAGCTCCATGGTTACCTTTCTTTCCCCTTTCCTTAGATCTTTTTGTTTGTTTGTTTGTTTTCTTTCTCATAAAGTAAGAAAGACATTCTTCAGTGCCTTGGCAGACAGCTGTCTGAGGTCCCTCCTCCACTGGGGTCTCACCGTTGGACCCCCGGTCCCTCCCCGTTGCAAGGCACAAAAGCTCCTCCTGCCTGGCCTTTCACACACCGTGGCGGAGGGAAGGAGCCGGTCTCAATGCCAGCAAGTGAAACCTTGGCACCCTCTCAAAGAAACCTGAAGTGAGAAGGGTTCAAGAGGGAGGTGGCCTTGAGCGGAAAAGCCCCCGCTGCAGACCCGTCTGCGGCTTCCTGGGGCCACGGAGAGCTGGGAACCCACTCACGCTGGCCATTGTGTCCACCCCGGCTCCTTCAGCAGTTCCTGCAAACAGACTGAAGGCAAAGATTCCCATGGGATCCAGCAGAAGCCTCACCCGTTCCCTCCCATCCACGTCTGCTGGGGTTTGGTATTCAGTCTCAAATGCCTCCCTCCTCCTCCTGCCCCGGACCACCAAGTCAGTTCATTGACCACTTAGGACCCATTGAAGTGCCAGCATGGACGGGCCTCTCCATGTCTCAGGTTAACTTTTCTTCAGCACAAATATGCGTGTCCTGAAGACACGAATCTGATTGTGGAACCTGCCCCGTTGGAGTCCCGCAGGGACTCTGGCTCACACTGTAAAGGGCCCGGCCGCTGTCTGCAGTTCACCTGGGTGCCCAGAGACCTGCTGTCCCTCCTGGCACCTGGCCCACCTGCAGGGGCTGGTGGGAGGCCTGTGGGTAGATGCAGGTGGCTGGGGCGGGGACACTGGTGAGGAGATGAACTGGAAGCACAGAGCTGCCCTGCACCCCTTCTCATTCCATTACGCAGGGAGTGACCAGTTTGGAGGGTTGAGAGAGACTTTTCCATCTGGTCTCTACTTTCCTCTCTACTACATGTTTTTTTACCTGTGAAGACGGATAGTGAGAACGCCCTGGTTTTGGGGTCCAGTGCTAGGGCCTGAAGGTCTTGCCTCCTAGGAGGTAGGCCTCTGTGGCATAAGCCACTAGTTTTGAAAGACATGGTTAATAAAGCAAGAGGCGCTCAGGTCTCTGCCGAGCAGTTCACAGCCCAGGGAAAGTGCTGGAAAAGCAGAGTCAGAAGGCTGCATCTTGTCTCAGTCGACGGAACAAGAAACAGAAGAGGTGGAGGTGAGGTCCTGGCGCAGACGCAGGAACACAAGCTTCTTGTTGATTTAATCAGGCCAGGAAGTCTCATGTCTAAGGGTGAACGTGAACTCTAGGTCCCAACCAACTCGGAAAGTCCTGCTTGTTCCAGAGTTATTCAGCACCACTGACTGGGTGCCTGTGCCACAGGAGGGTCCTCTGGGGGCTGACCCCCCAGCTGTGGTGGGAGCTGAAGACATGGCGAGAGTGCTGGTGCCGGGTCCCGACCATCCTTCATTCAGTTTGCACAATTATTGAGCAACTGTCTTGTGGGCCTAGCCCAGTGCCCATGCAGAGATGGAGCCTTTTGGATGGAGCCTTTTGGGGACCGCTAAGGGTCTCTGGGATGGGGCTGGGCGGCCCCACAGCTACGCCATGTCTGGGCCTTGTGATCTTCGGGGGGCTGGTGGGCCCAGAGATGGAAGCTGGCGGTGGCGCTGTCATCTGGCTTTGAAGGAGGCCGTGACTTATGTAGAGGAGAGGTGAGGAGGCTGTGTCCTTTGTGTGGCAGTGCCCGACGTCACTGGTGGCTTTGAAGACCCCGGAGGAACTTGACCCAGCAGATGGCCTTCTGCCCTCCCTTGGCCCCCACTGCTACCCGCCTGGGACATGCCTTTGTTTTGACATCTTTTTTACTCTCCCCTCTATGTTTCCTGTTTTCGTGGATCTTCCCTCCTGCTGTATTTTTCCTGTGCCTGTTTGGTCTCCCAGATGTTGTAGCCA